TTTTAACAGTACATTCAATGAAAATATTAAAGAATCTGATGTTCGATTAATTATAAATAAACTTAAAGATGATACCGCTGTGGGTTTTGATGGTATCTCGGTAAAGATATTAAAACTTGTGATAGACAGGGCCGTAGCAACCGAATATTGCGCCCGGGGCGAAACTTCAAAATGCGCCCTTAAGTATTTTAATTTATAAACAAACTAAACACTGTATATTATTTATAAACGCAATATAAATAATGATTTTGCCTTATAATTATGTAAGCGTATGTTAATTTTATTTAAATCAATAACTTATTAAAATATAAATATACATAATTATTATAAGAACATTGATGTAACATAATAAATAATAATATTATTTTTACTTATAAGTAACATTTAAATTGCAATTTTTCTAGCTTTTTTCCCAGCAAAGTCTTCAATAAGTTTGTTTATATCTAAAGTATTTACCACTGTATGTTCAATAGATAAAATAGCCATATCAGATATTCGATCTTGTCCCATAGTCGACCTCAAATAGTTTTTTATGAGCTTTAACTTACTGAATGATCTTTCACGCGTCGCCACAATTATTGGCAAAGTCAAAAATATGCGTAAAGCTATTTCGACATTTGGATATTCAGCACGCAAAGAATATGTTGTAATTAATTGTAGTAGGGCTAAAGGTGTTGCGGCTCTTAAGTCAGGTAAAAGAGAAAATGCTTGAGACTTAAAATCGGAAGAATTTAGATCGGTTTCATACTTCAAAGAATAAGTCAGCTGCACATTTTTGTATAATATAGTCCATAGAGTGGTCCGTCAAGCTACTACCATACAAAAATCCAAAATTTTCATTAATTTCTGACATATTTTCGAATCGATTGCTTAACTCTGTAAGAATTCGATCATAAACTTCAAAAATATCTTTTTTAAATTCATTCTGATGAGATAAAACTTGCACATTATCTTCAATTAGGTATCTCGAAATCTAATTTTTTCACTTTCCTCTTTCGCTTATCAGAAAAATTTGCTTTAATACCGAGATCATTTGCAATCACTTTACCGAATTCAATTGTTTTTTCAATTCCTTCATTTCGCATTGTTGTGACATAATCATAACAATATTAATAATAAATAATAATAGATATTTTATAAGATGTATAAGAAATAAGAATAGATGAAATACAACGCAAACATAATTGGTAATTCCACATTTCCATAAAATAGTAATTATTTTTAATCAATTATTAAGAATTATTTCTTAAGTGTAAGGTCTTCCTGTACATTGATAGATTGTATTTACTAACTATTATTGGTTTTATACTTTTATATAAAATATATAATAATTATTAGATATTATTTTCAACTATGCTTCAATTAATATACCTCAAGGACGTTGAAGTTTTTGTAAATAAAATATACAACACTGACCGCTGTAATTTTTAACATAAAATTAAAATTTATAATTTTTGCGCCCTCCCGAGAAAATGCAATTTTTCATTTTTTGCGCCCTCCCAGGAATTGCGCCCGGGGCGTAGGCACCTCTTGCCCCCCCCTTGCTACGGCCCTGGTGATAGACAGTATTATAAGCCCTCTGACATTCATATATAATTTAAGTATTAAAAATGGTATTTTTCCCGAGAAACTTAAATTGGCAATAATTAAACCAATACATAAAAATGGGGATAAAACCTGCGTAAATAATTATAGACCAATTTCCATGCTTAGCAATTTTTCGAAAATTCTGGAAAAAATTATTAAAAACAGGCTCTTAACATTTTTAGAAAAATATAAACTCCTCTCAAAACAGCAATTTGGTTTTAGGCCTGGATTGGGAACGGAAAATGCTTTATATAGCGCAACACAGTTTATAAATAACGCTCTAGACAACAGTAAGAAAGTTATCGCGATTTTTCTTGATTTGTCCAAAGCGTTTGATACTGTTAATCATAAAAAATTAATTAATATTTTACCTAATTTTGGTATTACTGTAACAAGCCTAAGTTGGTTCACAAGCTACTTGGAAAACAGAAAGCAAACTGTTCGTATTAATGGTATTAATGGTGTTGATTTATTTATAAACTGCGGTGTTCCTCAAGGAAGTGTGTTAGGACCACTCTTATTTATATTGTACATTAATCATATGTGTAATTTGGATATTGACGGAAGAATAGTAACATATGCAGATGACACCTGTTTACTCTATTGTGGAGACTCTTGGGGCGATGTTAGTACCAAAGCAACTCGAGAATCCAAAATTGTAGTGGAATTTCTAAAACTCAGAAGTCTATCTATCAATTTTAAAAAAACTATGTTTATGAACTTTTCGACTAATAATGTTAAATATAATTTTGATGAACTTATGTTACATTTCTGTGAAAATGGAACTTTGTGTAACGGCATGGTTTGTCAAAAATTATTTAGAGTATCTAGTACCCGATATCTAGGTTTAACGTTTGACAACCACATGAGATGGAATCTTCATGTGAATAACATAGTCATGCGTCTTCGAAGTCTAAATTACAGTTTCTATAAGCTACGAAAAATTGTATCTGTTCATGTCATGAGAACTGTATATTTAGCTCTATATCAAGCTATATTCCAATATGGTCTGTTAATCTGGGGAGGACTCTCGGATAACGCTCTGAAACCTTTATTGCTTCATCAACGTCAGATAGTGCGCGTATGTTTACAAAAGACAGACTATGTTGGATCAACTAAGCATAACTTTAGGGAGCTCAATGTACAACCAGTTGACCTTTTATTCAAAAAAATGGCTATTTTGTGGGTGGTTAAACACCTAGATCAGTGGGTTGACAAAAATGTTTTCAGTAAAAAAAGAGCTTTTCGTACATTTGATGCTAAAACATCACTTTTTAAAAAATCAGTTGGTCAAAAATTTGTTGATTTTCTTGGTCCTTTTTATTATAATTCTATGCCTTTCTCTATAAAGAAAAATGTTAATATTAATTATAATTATAATAATGCTAAAAAATTAATTATTGAATGGCTGCATGTATCGTTAAATGTAACTTAGGTTTAACTTTATGATATTATATTATTATAACTTTGTTTTCTTTTTTTTCTTCTCTCTCTTTCCATATTGTATAACTACGTAATTTGTGCTTTAAATTTATTTTTATTTTAAGCATATATTTTAACAATTGTAACTCCCTATCTTCGCCACAAGCTTAGCTTACAGAAGATAGGTAATTCAAATGTACAAATTAATGTATAATTGTATATTTGTTTTTAAATAAAAAAAAAAAAAAAAAGTAGTAGTATACTAACCTAACCTGTTAGGTACCTACTTCAGCAGATCGTATCATTTCTAAGGTAGGTATATAAGTAATAATTATATTACTTGGTCATTAATAAAACATCTCTTACACTTAGTAGTTAATTTATGTTTATTTTTATTGTATAGGCTAAGTTAATCCACTATTGATCAAAAAAGACTGGAAAGCTTGAAGTTACTTTGTTGTGAGAAATACATACAAATTATTATAAAGAAGTTATATGGATTATCATCCATTCATAATTCATCCCAAGTTTTAAAGGATTCTTTGATGTTTAAATAAATATCTTTTAATTTATCTAACATGTATAGTTAATTTTAATTCAGAAAATGCTTAAAATATATAATATACTCTTTGGATTATAGATAGGTAGGTAATTAAGGATATTGCAATTAAGGATATTACATAGAACGGTTAGAAGTTAATTATTTAGTTAACACTAGAGTGCCTTTCAAGGCACTCTAATTAACACTTAACTATATATATAATTATAAATATTGTATAAAAGCTACAAAAAACAAAAAAAGAAATACAAGAATAACAATTTGTTTTAGATTCTGAGTGGAACGATGAATGTACCTATTGATTTTACAATGATGTGTTTTTTTTTTATTTTTTAATTTTTTAATTTTTAATTTTTGTGTCTGTGCACACGATAAGTAGTCGAAATAATGCTTCGATTTTCAATTTCGGTATCTTATTCGATTGGAAAGTTAACATTGTTGGTGCATCGGGGAGGTCAAAATTTAAAATTCCCAGTAATTTTCAAAAGGAAAAACAGGAATTTTTACCAAAAATCGATTTTTCACAAAATTGAATTTGGTTTTGGTGTAACTTTAAAACAAATTACTGTAGATACATGAAAATTTCACTGAATGTTTATAATAGCATTTCCTATACACCATACGATTTTCAAAATATTTTGACTCTTTTTGAGCTGTTTAGGCACATTTTCTGTTTCCAATTTTTTTAGTTTTTTATTCTATAAATACCTATCAATAAAGTTTTATCTGTTGGGTCAAAAAGTGTAAAAATTTAATACAATGCTCCTGATATATTGTTACAATATCAGTTGAAAAATATTAAAAATACATAGGCACAATTTTTTTTATAAGCATTTAAAGATCGAATTTTGACAAAATTTATCAAATTTAAAATTGAATAATTATTTTTTAGTTAAAAATGTTCAACTTTTATATCTAAGGATTGAAAATTTAAAACAAGATTCCACGTAAGTAGTTAATTCTGTTACCAAAAATCTAAAAAATACATAAGCACAGTTAATTTTTATAGTCATTTTAAGTTCAAATTTGGATGAAATTACATAAAAAAAGAAATGGAAAAACTATTTTAGTTATTTTTTTGTTTAATCTATGCTATAATTGTATACTATGAGTACACCATATATATAAATATTATTAAACTAAATAATAATAAAATATAAAATTTAATTTAATAATATTATATATCTATGGAGTACACGACTGTCGTGCTCCACTATCCCATGGTATTATCATACCTGATAACTGTTATCAAATTTCAATTTTACCGGTTACTGGTTAGTATAATGTGATATTGGCGGTTGCAGGTTACCGACTACTCGTATACTCGACGTGTGTTGATGTTATTGTTAGTATTTACTATTTACTTATTTAGTACCTACTCAGTAATTGTGTCCTTCGTTAAACCGTTGTTTGCAGTTAAGTTCAAAAGTTGATGATTTTTGAGAGATTAACAACATTTTCAAGACCACGTTTTGTCAAGGTAAATTCTTATTTTATAATTTCTCTTGAATCTATGTCCGTCATTTTAATTTTTCTTAGGGTGGTTCAAAATGTTCATTGCACTAATGTTCATTTGTGTAAAATAATAGATTACAGATTTATTACAAAGTAACTTGTATCGCTCGTAAAATGTAGAAAATGACAAATTACTTTTCGAAACACTAAGATACAAAACAAAATATGTTAAAATTCACATGGTACCTTTAACCTTACTCGGTAGTCTTTGTTCAGTTAGGAAGTTATACAAAAATAAATAAAAATTCAACTAATATCATGAACAGGCAATAATGTTTTGTTAAAAAGAAGTAGGCAAGTACCATTTATTTTAATGATGAAGATTAGGTAGATTATAAAAATTTAGTTTTCACCTTAAGCTTTATAATAGATGCACAATAGGTGGGTACCTACATTCATTTTTTAAATTACTTCTTTGCATTTCTCTATAAAATAAATTAAAAATGCAATACGCTATGAGCTATCTGCTGAGCAAGTTTTATTATTTAAATGAAAACAAAATAGATTTATAAAGAAGAAATAAATAACATGAGTAATAGCATTGATTATAAATACTAATATTTATAATCAATGGTAGTACAGTGAGTACCGTTTAATGTGATCACAACAGGCCATTTTGATTCTATTAATCAGTTGATTCCATAAAGCATCTTTTTTGGTTTGGGATTTTCATTTTTGATTCCAATAAATGATTGATTCTATAAACCAGTGATGACATTAAGCGGAACTCACTGTCGTTTTAATTGTTATAGGTAGTTTATGATTCATATCTATAATATAAATATATTCTGCAATATTTTCCCCGTTAATTTATTTCTTATCTTATTCCCTAATTCAAAAGGAATTATTTGAAAAATGAGTCTATGGGCTATGACCATAATTATTGCCAATAAGGGGACCCCCCCACCTTTCAAATTTAATATTTCTATTTTTATTAAAATTGTTTTGAAGTTTATATAGTATACCTACTATTGTAAACCTTTTTTTTTTATTATTATTATAATTATTATTACCAAAGTAATTTAAACTTATTTGTATCTACCATTTTTTTTCCTTAAGGTTAAATCATAAATAAATATAATTACCTAAATATAACTTCAAATATTAAATAATCACTGTAAGCAATTATGTAAGATACGTGTATCTTTATGTCAATTAGCAGTTAAAGTGTCACTTTAATGTCTACCGTGGATGTTCCTTATTCCTTAATAATGAAAATGACTAGTGAGCGTGGCTACTATTATTCTAGATCAAATTATTGTGCCGTCCAATTTTATCAGCTCATAAAAATCCAGGGTGGGGCAATGGTTTTATATAATTTGTATAATATGGTGTTTATTTCAAAAAATAAATTGTACTTACATACTAAAAACTTAAGTCAAATATAATTTGTTGTATTGATATTGAATAGTAGTGGTTTTGATTGATAATTGATAATTTATTTAAACGTTTTATGTGTGCATTTATACTTCCATATTTAATGAAAATGTTTTATCTAAGTAATTGAACATTTTTCAGTTAATCATACGCACAATGTCTTCTTCAGCATTAGAGAAAATTCCAGACGTAGATATTGATGACAAAGGCCGTTATAAATACATTTTGATTAAGGTTACAGATCAAAATGATTCTTCTAACATATCAAAATTTGTTGTACGGGGTGGTCAAAGATTTGACTTTCATGGTAAGCACTAATATTTTTAACTAAATTAAGTTGAAATAAATATGATAATATACTCTATTTAAAATAAGTTTAAATAAACTGCACTTCTTCGGAATGGTATGGCTGCTGTATCCAGGCTGTGATTGGTTGCAGTAGTCGGCAGCCAACAATACTGCACATGCGCGTTCCGTTTCCTTCGGGATTTTCTTCCAAACTTATTTGGAATAGAGTATATTATATTATCAATCTTCAATTTATATATAATGATTTTATTATAAATAAATACTTGTTTATTGATATTTTATCATTATAGTAATTATATATATATAAACAATTTAGTACAAAATGTAGTACCAATTAGTACCATGTATATAAGCATAATCAATTAGACAATTTTACCAAATGCTGTTTTTAAATACTAGGTTTTAAGTACTTATATAATATGATGGTATAAATATATAATATTTCATGTTTTATTAAGAAATTTAAATGTCAAATTTTGAGAAATTAAAACTATGAGAATACTAGTTTCATATTAAGATGTAAGTTATAACTAATAATATTATAAGTAATAACAACTATTAACCAATGTTAAGTATGTAAGTATTCTAATATTATAGGAAAAAAGAATTTTTTTTTTTAGGCTGTAACCGTCTCCTCGTTACAAGGCGTAACTATTTATTAAAATTAATTGTATATTTATTTATTGCTATAAAGTTACTTATGAAGAATTTATTTTAATATCAGGAAGTAGATAGTCATTGTTTAATAATATGCTAGTAGCTAAATGGGATTTGGTACCTTGAATTCTTTTTTTTGTCTAACACACGCTCAACATAGGATTTAGACGGGTTGTTTGCCAAACATACTAATTGATTTTATTTAATGAAGGGATAAGAATTCTAAAAACAGATTTGAATTTGTTGTCAAGTCTACTTGAAATTGACTTTCCCACATTTTTGATTTTTTGATTTTAACTTCTCCAAAAATTGAAATACGACAATTTTTAAATAGGTACTCTTTTTTAATATGACATTTTTAGGAATTTGGGGGATTAAATAAAAAATGTGGGAAAGTCAACTTCTAATAAACTTGACGACAAATTCAAATGCTATGTTTTGTTGACGTTTTTAAAAATATCGATAGTTATCAAGACTGTAACAAATAATTAATCACAGTATAATTTTAATTTCTTTAATTTAGGGCCTTTCTTAGGTTTGATTTCTTAAGTCATGGAGTGAGATTTGGATATGTCCATAATACTCCATATCCAAAGTCATTTCTAAAATGAATACTTCACATACCCAGTTTTTACAATTGTTTTGGTTACATCAATATCTACTTGGGATTTTACAAAACCTATACATTTTATTAATTAATAATTAATCTAGATTACTTAATCTAACAATTGGGAACCTGATGTCTTGATAAAATGATTTAAAAAAATATTGCAAAAGAAAGAACAAAATATTATTTTATAAGTGCGTGTAAAAATCTTTTATATTTAAACACAATTATATAATATATATAAACAAATTTAATGTATACATTTTAAAAGGTCTAGTCTCTTCAGTACATGTACCATTTAAACAATTTTAAATAATTTTCAAATCAAAAGGTTTATTAGTTTTGTTATTATCTAATCAAATGTTGTGATTAATATACCTAATTATTAGTTTGTTGGAAAAACGAGAAATATGTTTATGATAATTCATTGATTTTGCTGTAAAGAATTTTAGGATAAAAATTATTTTTTTTTTATAAAAAATATCAATGTAGTATAAACCTTATAGTTTTTCATTGAAATAATTTATACCTACTCACTAATTACATTTTTTAAATATTTAATCGCAACATGTGAGACTTGACCTTTTGATTATGCCATTAAAAATATACACTTAGTACTTACATAGCATTTATAAAATATTCTGATATGTACATTGGCTTAAAAAGTTAAATTGATACATTTAAAAAAACTTGATGATTATATAAAACTATCGTAAAATGTATTTAGGTATTTGTAAGCTTATGTATAAGTTAACCTAAAACACTTTCATAGTAACAATTTAGTTGCTTAGACATTTTAACACAACATTTATTAACTTTTAAACCTGACAATCTTAGGCTTTACAATAATTACAACACATCTAATTTCAACAATGATTAAGCATCGACAGTTCAATTTATTTACAGTTTGGTAACAATTTACCTAATAATTAATGTTGAAATCATTTTGAGGTTGTAAATCTAAATTTTAATTAAATTCTCGTTTAATACCTTTAAGGTATAAAATACTTGTATTATTTATTATACCAATTATTTTACTGTTGAAATTATAATTCATTTTTATTGAATACTTACAGCTATAATTAGAATCACTAAATAATTTGACAATAAAATGTTTAGTATTAGCTACATTATAAACAATTTATGAAGATAAATATATAATGTATTCCTCAAAATATCATTTCCAGGTATACAAGACTAGCACCCCCTAATTAATGATCGCATTAACAACATTTCATTACAAAATATTAAATTAATTTGGCAAAAAAAAAATTTAATTTTCCCCAAAATGTCCCCATACATATTCTAATCAACTAAATTCTTAGCCATGTATTAAACTTTACAAAATGTCACAATGCTTTATTTGATTGTATGAGTTTCTTAACATAATATTAACATAAACCTATTAGATTATTTGTTTGAAAATATGTTTTGAAAGTTCTGAAGTTCAGAAGAATTTAAAATAAATAAAAGTAATTGAAAGGTATAACTTAAATGTATCTCTAGGAGTTAAACTTAAATAATTATAAGCCGAGTATTTATTAACAATAGGTATTTCAAAGTATATCTTGTTTTTATTTACTGTTCTTATACAGAATGATTCCCAAGCATTCTCACCCCTTTGTTTCCTTCAACTTCATAAGTAATACACAAAAATGTAATGATTTTTAAAATATGGTCTTTATTTAAAAATTACCAAACTCAGATTTTGAATAACTGCATTATTGAACAAAAAAAGGAATGAGTTGCTTGGTGAATCACCCTATACATTGTGATATATGTATGTGGTATATTTATAGTTAGATTAAAATAATATTAATATAATATTGTTTAGTAGTACCTACTTAATCTAATTGACAGATGGAGAATGGAATTTTTGATCTCCTAATTACAATTATGGCTTTAAATAAATAAAATTGCTTTTAGTTAAATTGTTGATAATTTTTTATAAAGTTAGTACTGTGGTAAAAATAGATCAAAAATATTATCCAGCCAAATTAATATAATATATATATCATATAGTATTTTTTTATGAATTATATTATTACCTAACAATTATGTATAAAGCTTTTGCTTTGATACTCGATACTTTCATGGTTAATATGTTTTTATAATTTCTGTAAAATTATCTTAAATTGAAGCATATAACATTTTTCTGGTATTAAGAGGCATTATAGATAAATATCTATTTGAACAGTTTTCTGTATTCTTAAATTATATAAGTCGGTGGTAATTATTATTGTGTTAATATCTTATATTATCTGTACCTATTTAAATTTTTTTGTAGAAAAATGGTATAATATAGTCAATGCCATTTTTCCTATTATATTATATTATATTATTATTCAATAATCATCAACTCATAACTTCTTATAGAATGAACTTTTTTTATGAACACAAATAATGTATTTGATTTAATTTGCAAAGAAAACATCAATCTACATAGTGAAACTCAACTAATGTATACAATCAAACTGAAATTATTATAAGCTTAAAAGTGTATTTAGTGTTTTCCATTTTGAATTGGTTATTTTAGGCTTATTTGTATATGTTTAAACACGACTTTTTAATAGAAGCATTAAGTAGATTATTGAGCTCCATTGGATTTTAGAATACGGCTTGTCTAGAATAATACTGTACAGTTTTTAAATTGTAAATGCTCTACCCTGCAAGAAATCAGCCTGGTTATTGGTAAAATGTTCTTTAGTTTTATGAGATTTTATTATTCAAATTAACAACCTTAGACATTATAATGAAGAGAATACATATCCTAAAAACTGTAAATTATTTTGGGCTAATATTGATTTTGATAAGTTGTGTATTATTCGCTAATTACATTTTTAACTATTATACAATCATAGTTTTTTACTTAATCGAATAGAGGTACCTATTACCTATATACAATCTATTTTATTTAGTATAAAAAATAACAATAAAACTTTTTTTAGTTGGTCCCCCTAACACTATCTGTTGTTGTTGAAACAACATAAAATTCTTTTAAATTTAAAACGGTTGTCTTCGTGATGATCTTCGGCATTTTGATCGGCCGTGGTTGTTGTTGGTGTCGAACGAATATCTCGATTATCGGCCGATTCGATTAATCCTCAGAGTGCTAAGTTATTGGTGCACTGTTCCTCTGATGTCATGGCTGCTTCTTTACTGTCCACCATTAGACAGGGTCCCAACGACGTACACGAAGCATCCTTGCATTCTATGTCACATATACATTATACATAAAAATTGTAGATATATTAATACATATTACGGGAAACAAACAAAATCGTCATGACCGTATCTTTGTGAGAGGGGAGGGAGGGGTCCACGGTGTCCTGAAACACCAATTTCTGGTGATAATACAGCACCTTGTTTTTGTACATCGTGGTTAAACAAATGTTAAAACTTATAAATCATAATATTATGTAACGAGTATAAAAGGGGCGCAACTAAGATTTATTTTCGGGGTGGGGGAGGAGGGTGGCAACCTTCCTCGTGTTGCGACAATGATGAGCATTGACCCATAGGCTAAAATTATAACCTTTATTTAACATAAATTGTTGAACCTTCCAATGGAAAAAATTCTAGATATGATTTAGCTATATAATTTATAAATATTTAATTATTCGACATTATCGATTATTAAGTGAAGTACCTATACTACCTAACCTACTTTTGACTTGTCTAAAAATAGTTTACCTGTTGGATAAGTGTTTGAAGGCGTGTGCATCAAAGTAAATGGTAATTTGAGTGACATCTGACCGCCCATGGCGCCTATTAAAAGCTTGACTTTTACGTAATATGTGACATAAATTGCGAACACGTTTCTGTCTTCTGGTGACACGCATACCACAGTGCTGGACAACGTGCCCTCCGACTTGTTTACGGCAGACCCCAGCGAGTCCTCTAGTGCGATCCAGTTTTTGGTTCTCGCCTTGATAGGGTGCAGCAGGTATTCCTTTTCGAGTGAACCACCATTGCCGGGTATTGGTACGTCGGCACATTCATCTGATGCCACTGTGTTTTTAAATTTACCGTTGCTGAACATGCATACGTCGACGTGCTGTACGATGAACACCTATAAATATATATAATATCGTCAGTCTCATCGGGTCGGTGTTATTATACTAGCTGATATAATAGGATTTTGTTATTTTTTTTTAGTAGTTGTGTCTTGCAGTAAAATATTAAAATCAATTTTTTTTGTCAAATTCTGCAGAAAAATATAATTGCCATCAGCTATACAGTGGGTCCATTAACTATATTACGTCATAATAACAACATTGTATTTTTATTTCTTACTCAATCGGATCCATAGAGCTACCTACTCTATGATCAGATCAAGACTTTTTTTCTGCTTTTACTTTATTTACCCTTACAGTGTTCGAATTTTATTGAAATTCTCGATTTCCAGATTTTTGATTAATTTAAAACATACCTACTATTTACTTTTTTTTAAATTTTAACCAAGAAGTTATTATTATAGTAAGTTGTTTTTTTTAAATTAAAATTATTTCTTATTAACGATAACCTAGCATTATTTATTTATCTAGATAGGGTAAACCAATGTAACCGTGAAAATTTACTTCAATGATATTTTGTCACTAGTTAAAATCCCTGGTGAATTTTTATTCCCAGGTAAAATGTTGCTAGATAATATTGACTCATAGTAAAATTGCGCTAGGGAATGTATCGGAGGGAAGTTGTAGAATTTCACGTAGGATTTGATCACAGCCACACCGGAACACGATTGCAAATTATTTACGTAGGTGTATATTGTTGTTTAAATTTTAGAAATATTTGAGTTGAATCGGTAATCGGTTATAAGAAAATAAAATGTATATGAGTGGCACTGATACCTATATATACCTAATTGCCTATACGTTTTACCGAGAGTATAGGGGAATTTTTGCTACTTGTTTAACTTAAAGCTTTTACCTTTATTCGTCTGACAGCTTTTTTACTTGTGTTCTTCACGCTGATGTTCACGTGAATTGGATCACCGTGTGTATAAATAGCTTTGTCTAGGTTCGCCTCTAAGGTAACTTTACCATCGCTAAGTAAAAATGGTTTCTCTGAAGTAGCTTGTGGTCCTCTTTGACGCCATCCTTTTGGCTGCTCTGATCTAGGTGTTGGTGTGGGTGGTGGTGGCGCTGAAGCCATTTGCACTACTTTGATACCCATTTTTACAATATTTTTTCGTTGTAGCTTCTCGTCTGCCCTTTCGGCTACAGTTTTGTACATACAATAACATTGTTAATTTGTGTGCAGTACATTTAAGTAAATATTTGAGGTATTTTGACATATAAGGGCTTTACATAATATCAAAAACACGAGTATTAAATTAAGGAAATTTATATTCATGTCATATTATACGTTAAAGGTATAATATAATTTGTATTTTATGTTTAATTAATATTACATTGATACTCCTTTGTTTGTGCTCTAAGGGATATAAAAAAACCCTTCAGCAGGATAGCGGGTAATACTTGTTTTTAGTTTTTACAGAAACATTTTTCATTTTGAAAATATTTAAGTCTTGTCCGTAAAATGATATCATTTCCCACGGTATTTGTTAAACTTATAATTAATTTAACTAGAAACCGTTTGTGGTATAACATCTGTAGCGCTTGATCTAATTTGAATACAATTGCGTATAAGCCTCCTTTGAGATTTGAAATTATAACGAATGATGTGCCATTGCATACTCGATAATATTATAATACATGGATATCAATACATAATATATATCCATGTACATTGTACATTGTACTTATATATTAAATATATGTGTTTTTGTAACCATTTGATATTATAATGATAACATTCAGTAAACATGACCATCACTTTAATTATTTGCGAGAAAACATTTAAGAAACTTAAAATGTATTACCTATAAATTTAAATTAAATACATTTATATTATTTTGTCAAGGAAATAAACGTAGTTTATGCAATAAAATCTTTTACGCATAAGTTTATAATTGTTTGGTTGACTGTTAAAGTAATTTAATAATAAGGTTGAAATGTGTGACAAAATTTGTTTATTGACTTTGTTAAAATATTTATTGACCCTAATAAAACATACAAAATCTTTTGTATTATATACAAGTTAATGATCTGCTTATAATAAATTCACTGTACACATATAACTCAATGTATACAAAGTAATACTAATTAATTATATTATTTATATTATATAGTTTTTTGTCCATACCTATATATACTCGTATATCGTAACTAGTTCCTATTGGAGCGCCGTTGTATTCTTTGGCAGGAACTAATTGGACGCTAGGTGGAGCTAAATGAGTTATTTCCATTGAAAATGCATGAGCATTGCTTCCCAGTCTTTGTATCAACATTTCCTTAGAAAATAAAACAAAAAGTTGTATTTTAAGAGAGCTTTTATGTATTAGAATATGCACGTTTTTTGTTAGATGTTTTTAATTATCTTAATTAAAAGTCAGATTATGATATGAAATATATACTATTTATTATGTACCTACATCGATATAATGAGATTTGTAAGCATCATATTTCTATTTTAGGTACATATTTTTAGTTAATAACAGTTATTAACTTTAATACAATTAAAACATTAAATAACGTTACAATAATAGCGACTGCTACATGTATTTTTTTTATGATTCACTTATTGCTGAATTTTAATAAAAGATAAAAAAAACATATAACTAGTGAAGTTGCTATAAATACAATTATGCCTAAAATATAATTGAATAATTTAATACGTTATAATCAAATTAAGAATCCAGCTTTCTCAAAATACTTCAACACATTAATAATAATGGATCTTGGAAAGGAATTAAAAATAATGTGTGGTTAAGTAATAATTGTTATTAGGTATTGAACTTTTTATTAAAAAAAAATTAAATTAGAAATTATTGTTCAACCAAGATCAATCGAATCTGAATATCATGATTTAAATAATCATTTGTTTGATTTAGTATGTATTTTTTTAATACTTATATAGTATTTTTACCTATAATAATGAATAATTTTTAGTTTTCGTTTATTCATACAATTATTATTGTATTATGTACGATAATACATTTCAAAAAGTAATTATTGAAACTCATATTAAATATAATATTTAAATTAAGTTTTAAAGTATTAATTAGTCGATTATTGTTAATAGTAAGTTAAAGTATCATAAATTCTAATTTATAATACTTTATTTTTAGATGAACATACATAATAGTATAATCAATATTTATATACCTACCTGTAAGGGTGTATTTTGTTCGCGTTGTGCATTTTCGTGAGGTGGATAAATTTGCGCTAGACACATGATTGCTTCGTTACAGAATTTCAATCCCATTACTTCCTCGTCTTCTCTTCCATACCGGAAAGTTAATGTTATTTGCCCGAACACCTTTATGAATTGAAATGCATATAATAAAAAATTACTACACATAATTTTGTTTTTAAGACTTTAAATTTTAATTACGGTGAAATGTATTAATGTAATTTGAGACCTACAGTTTTTAGTAATAATAATTAATAATATTATGCATTTATGCAGGTATACTATGTAATATTACTCTTGAAAATAAAATTGGGTAGATCGTGTTCTATTAATCACTTAAAACTGTTTTGTTATAAATCCATCAAAGTTCGTTGGATAATTTTGTACAGGGCTATTCATTTAATGTAAAGTTGCATAAAGCGTGTTACGCTTTCTCTTTGTGTTTTTAAATTTGTTTTTTTAATGGTTACCTATATAGTCAACTATTAACATTTAACACACATGACATGACATCGTACACAACGTCTTTGTATAAAAATTCTCCTGTTAAACACTATCGTTTCGTAGCGTGTTTTGTCGAGGGCGCCCATTTAAAATCCATTAAAGACGCAAAAGAACCGGGAAGTAATAAGAGCAATAATAATACTGTAAAACTCAGCATGACCGCGTTGAAATGCTTTTAACGCCAGTGTAGGTCTCGAAAGTAATTCAACCAACGCGTTTTACAGTATTGTACAGTGTATGTGAAGTCATGAAGTCGTGAAGGGTGTTTTCAATGGTATATTATATAAACTTGCGTGTGCACTTAACACATCCTTTACATACGTATACATCCTCCAACTGAATTATTTTAGACAACAACTGTACAGTAATTGTTAAAAATGCTTAATTAAATGATGATAGGTACCTTTTACCTATATATAGCTACCTGTTAATTATATTACGATCGATCGTTGAAATCGCGAATAGAAACTCAACCGAGCGTTTATTTCCCGTTTAGGACTCGGTATAGGTACCTATTTACAATGTTTATATTTATAATAACATACTATTCGTACTTATATGTGTATTTTAGTATTTATTTGAACAATTGTATATGATAATTTCATTATGTTTTTTATATCTTCCGGTAAAATAATGATTATTGTTTTATATTATATTTGGCTAATATTTATTTATTTACTTATATTATACGTATAATATTATGTTATAATGTGAAAAATGTTTGTGATTCATCTCTAAATAAACGATTTGCTTTGTTTATATAAACATATATTATGTATCAATAAGAATTATGAAGTATAAAGTTTGTTGTAGTCTATATGCAAGTTTATACTTAAAAACTTTACACGAGTAAATTTTTGAGCAGAACAACTTTGAATGACAATCATAATAATATAAATATACAATCATATTTTCAACGTAGATAATAATATATTGTATGGGGATTTATAATAACCGTGATTTTGATTACACTTTTTAATTATTCCGTTACAAACATTATAACTTAGGTATATAATATATATGTTATATATATTTGAATTATGCAATTAATATATTATAATATCCAAGAGTAATAACTTAATAAATGAAAAATACAATTTATTATTATTACACTGAAACATGATATCGTTTACTTAAAAGATTTCATAAAAAATATTTAATTACTTAATGTTATTAAAAATATAAAATTATAAAAAAAAAAAATTAATTCACTACAGTACCTTTTTCTTTGTGTCCCTCAATAGATCTGGTTCCACTAATACGATCCCGTGTATTTTTGTGGACGAATTGTTGGACACTACTACATCTCTGTTGCCTAAATATAAACACAGCTTGTTGTTCTGGGCAGTTTTTCTAAAAACTCTGTAAAATGAAAATAAAAAAAATTTATTTTAATATTATTTAAAATTTTATTTTCATAATTGTGTGTTTTACATGTTGTCATGTTGATAGTTTGTCGGTGGAATATTTAAGTTGTGTTTTTATGTAGTCAAAGTTTTAATTTGTATTATATCAAGTATTAAAAATTGATTTAATTCTATGGTATGCAAACATTATCTACGGATTTACGTCATTGTGCATCCGATATTGTGCGATGAATCATTGTTAATTTAATGCTTATAGATTTTATTTGTTTTATTTTTCAAAAATTCAGTTTGGGCGAATATTAAAAAGGGTTTTTTTTAAACACTGGAGGAATATTATCGCAATATTCATACAATGGATTTCACCTTTTTTTTTCTTTGTCTGCATTATAGTTTTATAGGTGTTGTAGTTAATTGGCATATGCGTTCCTGTTGGGTTCATTATTTTTAATTAAAAGGGAAAAAAATGTATTGAATGCTCGCCTATACGCCATATATACTGCAGTTGTGTCAAAGTTGAATTCAATGTGACGCGTGAACTGCCGTGTACATAACTGTATTATAAACAATGCTTTCCTATACTTTATTTGAATATACAACATTTAAATCAGTTAATGTAGATTTTTCCATAATAAATTATGTTTTAGAATGTCATGGGCAGTCATCTGAAATGTCTATACGTTGTCGAAAAGGCGAATAGAATTATTGATTAATGGTTATCACTTTCTAAAACATGCAAATAATGAAATATTGAACTTTATCTGACAATGTAACATTTATTAATTAGAATTAGAATTTTATACACATGGGTGTATAATAAGTGTATGTACTTTTATAAAATATAAATGTCATGCTCCTCATACTATCTTTTTTCCGTGTGGTATCACAATTGAGGCGGGAACCACGATAGTATTACTTTCACCTATGTAATAATTAAATGTAATAAATAGGTAATAAGTATAGAAATTTGTGTTTTATTAAAGAATTAGATATAGTGATATACATAAGTAAAGGTATAATTAAAATTTTAAAAAATGTAATGAATATAATTATAAATTTACCTGTGTGCTATTCCTGGTAAAGAATCTTGAATGCATGACCTGAAAAATTATAAGTTATAACCAATGAAAATCTAATAAGTGATAAGTAGGTTGCAACAGTATAATAACGTTAGAGTCAATACCAATATTTATGGTATAATCAATTTACTGTTTGTTTATATAAAATAAAGTATTCCTACTATATGTGTAGAGTATTATCTATATTTAATGGTGAAACTTTGTAATTTAATTACATAAAATAATGGAGTTAAGCATACTAAGTAGAGTAAAATAAGTTCGATATAATTTTTCATCGGAAATATTGTGTGGGTTTTTTTAAAGCCTTCTTCAAATACTACCTACTTTCAATATAATATAAATAAAACAAATATATTTTAGAATATACCATAAACGTTTATAAATGTTTATTTGTTTGTTACAATGATTGGGTATTAGTTCAGATAATATACATGTATACGCTTTATTATATATATTTATTTCTTGACGTACGTTTCATCAGCCCCTCCCCCCCAAATCGAATTTCAAAATTTTTTTTGGTTAAATATTTAGCTTGCAACTAGCGTGAATTGGTGTGACTGGTTTTGGACTTTGCTTGGCACTAGGTCAAGTTAAAAAATGTAAACAAAGTGGGGGAGGGGGCTGTAGAAACGTTTCTGAACGTATTTGCAAAGCCCACGGCTTTGGGTTTATGGTTTCGAAATAGGTAGATCACAAAAATTCACTCCAATTGCACGCTAAATATTGGAGTTGAAAAAACTTTGCTTACATTTTTAAACTTGACCTAGTGCCAAGCAAATTCCAAAACCAGTCACGCCAATTCACGCTAATTACACGCTAAAAATTTAACCAATAAAAATTTGAAATTCGATATGGGGGGGGGGCTGGAGAAACATACGTTATATCCAGTGTATATTATGTTACCACCAATGTCGGCAATCAGTTATTTTCAGTTATGACTAGTCATTATTAACAATGTATAATTTGGTTAGGTGGATAGACCATCATAAAATTACTAAAATTGATAGTCAATGTGGGCATTATTAATTAATTTATTAGTGCACTTAATTTAATATTACGCAATTTATTTTTCGGAAACATATTTTTGCAAATTTATTTCATACCTAAATGAATGAATGAATTTCTTATTTTTCTATCCATATATCAGTTAAAATATAATATCAGTTATTTTATACTTTTTATACAGTATCAGTTGTGTTCCTATATTTTTTCTTTACAATGCACTTAATAAATTGTCTACTAACTTCCCAACTACTTATTGTCGACTAATTTGATGACATTTTTGAAGACTTCCTGTACAATCGAGTTGTTTTAAACATCTGTTCCACTAATACGTAGGAACATATTAAATAATATACGGATATATAGCATGTAACGTTTAGACACGTGTCTTTTGTTAATGCTTTTAGGGCATTTATATTTTATTCTCAAAAATGTAATGATATTTCATTTCACTGCGGTCTATCCTTAATGATAAACTCGTCAACGCCACGCGTAAAGACGGACATTTGTTGTTTGACCTACCCAATATTTTTCAAAACAAAAATAATAATACAGATTATAGTGGGTATATCTTTGACGGCAGGTGTGCACAATACGACTACCATTATTTATGTCGTTATTATTTTTATATTAATCTTTGTGTATTTATGTCTTCAACCATGATAATCAGTATATTTATGGGTTCTATTCACGTAAACGATTTCATCGCCGGACCATTATCTTTCGCTTTTCATTTGACGCACCGAGACCACAAAGTGGTTAAAATATGGATACATATATACAATATGTATATTATATATTATAATAGTACAAACTACCTTCCCTTGATCACATTTGATTATTAATTATTTTTGTCACAATTCGGTTAAAAGTGCAAGACTTCCAATTTAAATTGTATGTGTTATTATTTATTAAGTATCTGTTAGATTAGTAGAGTTTGATTTTTATTTAAACAAACCAAAAATGTATAATGAGGTATTAAAAAAATTAAGTTACGTATCTACAGTCTACACGTATACCTTACCTATACGAAAATATAATTGTCAATGTATGAAATTTATAAATAAAAAATAATGTATACCATATTAGATTCTTATGTAATTCAGTGTAGTATACAATTTTGAAAACATGTCTGTATATCTATCACTTCTATCTATATCATATAATTTTGATTAACTTTAAATCGTATCGAAAAATCGATTGCTTTATATTCTCTTGATGATTTGGAATGAATTTTAATCTAATAATATTTTGAAATGTTTATTTGATAAAGGTGTTAAATATGTTTAGATGATATTCTTATATGATTCTGTTCGTGTTTTCAAGTTAGTTGCGAGTTTCTATAAATACATAGGTACATAATTATTATCAAATACATTGCTTTTATGAAACAAATTAGGGTTTATTTAATTTTAAACAGTCGTGTGTTGGACATATACAACAACAAAATTATGTTTCTTTTTACATTTTTGGAACATTGATTAAATAAGCTAACCTTACCTAACCTAACCAGATTATTACTATTATAGAGTATTACCAATGGTAGTGTAAAATAATGTGTACAGTGCACCTACTCTATTCAATTCTATTATTTGTGAAATAAGCTGAATCGTATTTTCACACAAGTTGGCCTTGCTTCGCAAGGCATTGGTATAGGCTCTATCCAGTATAACATAAACTTCAAGAAAATACATATTGTATGAGCTTGTATATTTGCGAGAATAGGTAGTAATTTAGTTCTCTGAAATTATCGTAAAATTAATTTTCTGTTTAATATATTTCAGGGTATTTTTTCATTAAATTCGTGTTGAAATTTGAAACATTCAATTGAAATTCAAATTTAAAAAAGTGATTTTAAAATGCATCACAAATAATACACGTTAATTTATTTCTTAGGGTTATTAACTACTATTTTAAATAGTTTGACAATAATAAGAACATTTTAGTTTTTTTTTTATTAGAATTTTTTTATTACTTTTATAAACATACTTTCAACAAACAATATAAATAAAAATGTTTAACAAAATAAGAAGATTAAATAGGTTATATTTAAACACTATTTTAAGCCAATGATACTTGAAGAAGTTTTAAAAATTAGGATTTATTTTTAATTTTAAAAAACTTAAAAAGTGTTACATATTATTTAGTTTATCAAAATAATAATCATAAAAATAGGTAATAAAATAATTTATATTTATTGTTTTATTTCAATTGTTTTTGAATTATGTAGAATTGTGTAAAGATAAACTCGTAAACAGTTTTGAATATTCCCTTTAAAGTTTGAGGATATCCCATGGTGTCATGTTATATCGTATAATATGAAATATTAATGTAACCGTACTATATAGCAATAGAGAAGACAACTACGCAATATACCGATTGCAAAATCCTTTTAAATATTTTCCCTAACCAAACAATAGTTTACTGTGGACATTCATTTTACTGTTTCAGTTTATGTAATAAACAATGGCCTGCATCAGATCATTCTCAAAGTACACGTAGACTTTTTCATTCGGAGAGGAATAAAAGTGTATTTTACTTAGTTACGTAAATGTTCATTTCAATGAAATTACTTCGACGGTTCTATGTAGGTATTGTATTAGAACCGAATACAATTATTTTTGGTAATCTCTGTTTATCTAAAATCATATTATATGAGCATAATACCAATTATTAAAATATAATCAATTACTATTTTTTCTTAAATTCTTATTCATCTCAATTAATCATCTGCAAAACAAATGTTTATTTTTATATCCAACCATTTATGTAAATTTGATTTTATTCTATTTTTGAACTTAATAACCTGATAATTATTATGAATACGCCGTTTCTGAGTCTTCAGCCATGATACAATGCTTTCTGTAATACATTCGTTTAAAGTAAATGCTAAAATGCTGAAATGCTAATTGTTCGTTTCTTGTACAAATATTTTTGACATCACACTCGACAATTTTTTAGTGGGACCCATTATGATGTTTATTGATGTGTAAAGATTTTATTATAATTGCGTTTAGTTTTGTAACTAAGGTCTTAACTATACTTAAGGTATATATTACCTTTATAGAATTGATGTTGCCTCTTTAAATTGAAATCGGTCTGAAATAACTAAAATACATGTAAATATCTGAACGTCTTCAAGCACAAAAATTACGAAATTTTAGTTGCATTTGTGACTGGATTTTTATATTGGTTTTTAAAATTCACTTTCAGAATACAAGTTATACACTATTATAGGTAGGTATACTTATTAGTTTTAATGGAGAATTAAGTGCTTAACGATTTTAAAAGATTTATTTAGATTTTACTTACTTTTCTACGTTTTCTACTTAGTTTAACTCGTTCAAAGCTTAAAATATATCGTCTGTTTTAGATTATTTTACAGTGAATCCTCTTAATATCAAACACATTCTCAGTAATAGACATTTCCAAACTCCTCACATAAACTTGCGTGAAACAATAACTCACCCCAATAGCGGAAACATTTTAATTCTTCCGCTAAGGTGTCCGAAATAGAGGGGTTTCACTGTTGTGGATTGTATATACTTATATAACCACATTATGTTATTGTGTTGTGTTTAATGTACACAGTATGACGTAAAAATAAAATAAAAGCTGTCCCTTCTGAGAGTTTGAACTTATCCTATATAAATGGTGATTGATCGCGACGTTCCGCAAACATTTCGATAAAAGTGTCACCCTGCTTTCTATTCGATAACTGGCGGACTCGAACAGTTAATCAGTTTTGAAGGGTAAAAATGTCGGCACACTCAACGAATTTGGATAACGCCCGACTCGTTTCCTTGCGTTTTATTAACCATGAAGTAAAACAACAAAAAACCTACCATCGAAAACGTTGTACATTTGAATAATTTCTCTCCTCCACCCGTCCAAGATTGTCGTCACAATAATGACGCCACGAATGCATAAACAACGGTTGGACTCTATAATAATATATATATATATATATGTATATATGTAGGTAGTATGTATATTGTATACATTGGTATATGTACGTAATATACTAGGCATAATAATATAGCGACAAGTTTCTTGTAAAAAAAGAACTCCGCCATAGAAGAACACAACAAAAGATTGTTTTTCTCGGTTTGAAGAAAAAATGGGTCGTCTCAGACCGTTTACGTGTGCGGTGCGTGTTGTAGTCCTTATAATAATTTCACTCAATCGAGAATACGTTTCATCTTCCACGCTGACAAAATTGATATATTATACATGTATAATGTATGCCTATAATAATATTATCATGTCCTGTGTTGAACGTTCCGCTATAACCTACTTTTGTACTGTAGTAATTTATTGTACCTAATAATTTTATGACTGGTTGTCCTAATTCGTTTGATAATGTACACATTTATTTGATTTTTATTTACACATAAACATACAATATTAAACTCATCATAATAATTTTAACATGGGTACTATTATATTAGTGATGGTATAAAATTATGTAATATGTAGGAAGTTAAAAAGTTCAAAGTAGCCGGCTACAAATTAATTTCATTCAGTAAATTAAAATACTTAATCGAGTTAACTATGGTTGTAATAAGTTTTATTTTGGTTAGATGGTAGTGACTAGTGAGTTCCAAAATGTTGATTGAAAAACAAATTTACTTATACTCATAAAAATAATACACTGTGGAATTATTTACTGGTTAATAGGATACAAGTTGCTGACCCTTTTATATTGAACAATAATTTTCAACTCATGTTAAGTTAATTTGTTTGTTGGTAGGATAACTTAATCAAAACTAATTAACCTACGTCTTTTATAGTTTGTATAGTTTATAGTGAATAGTGATCAATTGTTTTCACTTTTCAATAGCGATGACCTCAACAAAATATAAATAAATCTAATTAATCATATGATGTGCTCCCTCGTGGCGCGTATAGTACGTATAGCCACATATCATTGACCATAGTAATTTATTTTGCATAAACACATTTATAGGTGTCTGCCGAGTGTGTATATATTTTATATCTGGTTACCCCTGGGTAAGCTGATAAATTTATGGAAACGACCCCTGACACATACACGTCTTATGTAATATTTAAATGGATTTGTCTGCTTTAATAAAATTGTTAAGATGATAAATGATAATAAAAACTAATCAATTGTACTCCATGTATTCAGTAATATTTATTTCCGTTCAACCAAATCTCTGACGAGTGGCCGACCGTGTAGTTTCACTGTCAGATATATAAAATAGTCATGTGCTTGGACAATATCGGTGATTTCAAAAATAAATTAAAATCGGTATCTTATGCGCGTGTGGATATTTGTAATCGTGACACACTATCGGACCACGGCGAACAAATTGATATGCAAATGTGTTATGCTATATGTATATAGAGCATCATCAGTTCGGTATATATGTTTTGATGCGTGTATTAATATTTCGATCGATACGATAGTTAATTATCATTATTAGTCGTACGTTCAATCGAATGATATTTATGTAAATACATGTTAATATCATTGCTAAATAAGCGTTTTACAAATTGGAATAGTTATCAATGTAAATATTAAATTACAAGTTATGTAAGTTCTTAACGGATACTTTAAAAAGTATTTGCTTTCAATTTATCGTTGTGCAATAGACAAGTCTGCAGTTTTTGATTTATACATTTGTTTTCAAGCTTTTACTAGCTATTTAGGCTCTGCTTCTAATACCTATTTACTCCATACTTTTCTTGTATAATCTTGGTCAAAGTTTCTATTTCAATCCAGTTTCAATTCTAGGTATTTATTAATTACGTTTAGCCATCTTCGCCTTGAATGTTCCCCTTGATCTTTTTCGATTTGTTTAATTTACCATTAACATCTTAATAAGAGAACCATCTGCTCTCCGTGTATGACAGCCCATGCAAGTATTGAACCATCTGCAAACTCTACGTTTGTATAAAAATTCTTTAATTCCTTATTTGATTTATTTTTCCATTTTTGCTCACAGTCAACGAATACAGGTCCATAAATTATTCTTAAAATGTTTCTATCAAACACGATAATTTTATTGTAGGTAGTCTCCTTCTTTTGTGGCACATGTGTTGCAGCCATACTCATAGATGGCGATAGGTCTTAAACTCTTAAATGAGTTGTATACAGTTTCGCTTTGGTATTTCTGAATAGTAATCTAGACTTAAGCAATGAAACGATAACGAAATACTCATTGTTAGCAGGCTGAAGGTGTTTACTAAATTACAAACTATTTAAATTTATACTCCAGTTTGTTGCAAAAACTTGAGATGTTTTCGATATTTTTTTAAACTTTTTGCCCTACAACAATCAGAACATTATTTTTATTAGTATAAAATGTATAAATGCAAATCGCATATTATACCTTCTATAAAATCAAATGTTATGAAAGATGTTGAAAGTCGGGGTTTGTATACTGAAAAGCTAAAAGTAAATATACATGTTGGGTTTTATAAGTTTTATTCAGACATTTTTTTTTAATTTTAATTATTTTGAGAATTTGAATTTAAATTTAACTCATCCATTACTGTAATCAGCTCCTACTCAATTCCAAGGTACAATTAACATAATATATCCTACTATACTCCGGTTTTCCCTTTTATTGGACCTTTATTACACATACAGATATTATGTGATTTAATTTGAACTAGCTGTTGATTCCTAAAGCTATCTAAAATATGCTTTGTTGATTTATTGACAAATTAGCATTTTATGTAGGTATTGAATTAATGCAGTTATACGAACCATATAATAGTAATATAAACAGAAAGATTCGATATTACTGCATAGTTTATGCTGGTTATTTATTCACTGTGCACAGTTTTCATCTGCATCTTAGGAGTGTCTATTCAAGATACGGAGTTTAATTAATTAATAACGTAATTAAACCTTGTAGCTTGCATAGTTTTCAAACCTCCCTTTATGTAGTTTATCTTTATCATCACTGCAACTATGAATGGATTGATTATATTATACGCTTGAAAACGGTTTGATGATTTATTAAAATGTCAAATTGGTATGATACCCAAGTAATAATTTACTTTCATACTAAGTATTTACGTTTATATTGTAGGTGTCTACAGTTTTTAAATCTGTAAATTATTATGGCCTATTAAGTTTTTTAAATTTAAAAAATACAGACTATTGTTGATAAATGTTTAAAAAAATACCCAAGCTGTCTAAGATAGAGTAGAAGAACTTAAAACTTTGGTAATATTTCGCACGTCTTACATGGTATTGTTCGTGAAAAATAGAAAATATTATAAAGGCTTACATTATTTTGGTCCCATATAACCACTACTACAATGCACTTGTAATAGGTAGTCATATCGTCGTATTGCTTGTCGTATCATCTGTGGTCTGATTACTGTACATAGAAATTAGTTTCGTTTAAAATAAGCAGTGATACGTTTAGCATTTTTATACATTTTGTTATGAACATTACTTTTTAATGAGACGATGTATACCTATTTAGTAATTTGATATTGTCATAATGGCGGAGAACGCCTCGGTAATGCATAATAACATTTTTAATGTAATATTATAAAGAGTTTTGCGCGTTAAGTAATCTGTGAAGTGCCGTAAAAAATAAAATTATCAACTGCATAATATTTGCGTGCCGCTTAATTGTTCTTATAAAAAAAGTTATATTTACGTCCATCGTAATTATTTGCGCTTGTAAACTAATTGAAGCACATCGTAGCACGGGTAAATTATTGTATTATAAATTATAAACATGGTTCGTTATCGATTGGGTTTTTATAGTATACCTACATAATTTTAAACGTACAGTGCCTCTCAGTTATTAGTTTATTTCGAGGGATCGGCTAGAATCCAAGTACTTGTTTGATGCGGTAAAACGAATAACTCACGTGGGGGGGGGGGAATTCAGAGACGATTAAAATATAATTACATTTATTAAATTATACTCCTATATTTGACTCCTGACTTTGTACAAAGCGTAAACCGTGAGTGAATGCCACTTTCGACGGTGGTACTGCATAAAAAAAAAATTGGAATTTTCACGTTAAGGAAGACTATTGGTTATAGTATGGCGTTTAAATATATATATATTATACTCATTCATATAATATATGCACAGTATATTAATATGTTATAAATATTTATATTTGCAGTAGGCGAAAAATCATTGAAACCTTTAAAAGCCAAATACGTGATATCAGAGGGAGATAAAACCAGAAATATTTTCTAACGTATATATGCCGTACTGTGCTTATTTTTTTTTCATTTAATTCTCGATATCTCTCCCAAAACAGTCCACAGCACGTCAAATATTAAAACATAGAATTGATCCACGGACCAGTATTTTTTACTATTCAAACCAAAAATCAATGGTGTTTTTCGTGGCAAATACGCGATCGGATATAGTGTAATTTTTATAAAATACGATTTTTCATGTGTTCCGCTTTTCATGTGCAATTATTGATCGTGACAGCATGTAAACAGAGAACAAGAACACAATAGCATACC